CTTCAAATCATTTCATTCGCATTAATTTAGCCGGTAAGTGCAAAATTTCTTTGCATTCAATACAAGTTTAAAATAGCATGGCCGATGAAATAAATAAATACTATCTATATAATATATTTTGATTTAAAAGCAACTCTAAATATGGAAAATGTGCACATTGTAATGAAGATAACACGAATAAAGCATGGTGTCTATCATGCGATCCTGACATAGCAATACGGTGGACAAGTAAAAGTAAGGATATTGACGACTGTATGAAACCGTTCCAACTTAGAAGCTGGGCATACGAAAATGTAGTTGAATGGATTCCATTTGATAGATTATCTGAAGTTAGTGAAATTAGTAAAGGGGGATTCGGCTCGGTATATTCAGCAATCTGGTTGGATGGTATACGAAAAATTGAAGATATTAAAATTAGTGATGACAACTATTTCTATAAAAGATCACGAGAAACAAATAGTACCGTTGCACTCAAGACTTTGTCCGGTTCTTTAAAAGAAGTAATTTAAATTTATTTATTCAATAATTTATTAGATGTATAATTCAACAACTTATTAAATAATTTTTATTAAACTAATTAATCTATTCAATTAATTTAATTAATTTCAAAGTTTGAGAACCATATAAAATATATTTTTTGGGGTAGCCAGCTTAAATATATGGATTAACCCAAAACAGAAAAAATGAATGCTTTATGGTATTTCAATACGCTGATAATGGAAGTCTTTACAAGTTTTTAAGAAAAAACTTTCGTGATCTTAACTGGAAAACTAAATTAAACCTACTTTACAATATTTCTGAAGATTTATATGAAATTCATGATTCAGGACTTGTCCATGCAGACTTTCACAGTGGCAATACCTTGCAAAATAAAGATGTTAGTAAAAATATAAAACCTTATATTTCAGATCTAGGATTGTCCAAAAAGGAAAACGAAAATGATTCAGGAAACAATATTTATGGTGTTATTCCTTATGTGGCACCAGAGGTTCTATCAGGTCAAAAGCTCACAAAAGCTGCCGATATCTACGGCTTCGGAGTCATCATGTCAGAGATGTCAACTGGGCAAAGACCTTTTGATGGATATGAATTTGATAAACTTGCAGTGAATATTTGCTGTGGATTGCGACCTGAATTTGCACCTGGAACACCGAATTGCTATATTGAGTTCGCTAAGCAATGTTTTGATTTTGATCCAAAAGAACGGCCTAGTGCTTGGGATGTATATTATAAACTTGAAGAATGGAATAAGATTATGAAATTAAAGGTAAATTATAAAATTACTTTATTTATTTAATTAAAGCTAATTATATTATATTATCAGCTTTAGCAAGTCAACCTATTGATTCCGTTGAAATTCCTATTGGTATGTATTATTATACTTACAGCACTTAAAATTACAATTTATTACTTACTTTATATTGGCATTTTAGATTAATAGCTTTAAGAGTATAAATTTATTTATTTATATATATTTTTGAATTTCAATATGTTGTATACAGTGTTGGCCGATGACATATGTCATAGTTTTTTTCCTATATGATATTGGTCATATAACCATATGACTTTTGGTCATAGTTATATAGTCATATTAAATGCTAATAAAAAAATTTTTTCTATAATTCTTATCTTATTAAAAAAGGTCATAAGTTATATCAATCTTCATTATGATATAACAGGTCATAAAGGTCATATAGATCATTTAAGATCATAAGCCAATTCTGGTTGTATAAGCTTAATTTTTACCTAAATACTATTAAAATAAAAATATATGATAAAAATTATATATTTAAATTTGATTTTAATTTTAAAAAATAATAATTAAAATTCTTTGCATATTTTACTAACATTTAAAATTTGTAAATTTAATTCTTTTCTAAACCTGCATGGGATAGTTTAACTAATAGCTATAAATACCAAAAAAAATATTAAACATAATTTAATAAAAAATACTAAATAGCATGAACTAAAAGACCACTTTTATAGAAACCTAAAATGGATTAATTGCACTTAGAAATGTAAAATATCTGGATACTAAAGATAAATTAATTGTACTCTAAAATTGCTACTATAGAATTGAAAAATGCATTGTAGTTTTTAAAGTTTTTTGTTTAAATATTAATTTTTTTATTTATTTTAAATTTTTATAATTTATAGTAGTGTATATATGTATACTTGTATTGAATAAGTTTGTATTAGAATAATGGTTTGTGTTATTAATATTAAACAGATTTGTAAATTGTTGGTTTGATATATTTTGGTTATTTAATATTAAGTAATCTATATTTGTTTATATATTACTTTGCTAATTTTATATAATATTGTTTTGCTTTTTTTTTTTAAAGATGATCACTTTGGTCTTTTAACTTTTATTACAACTTTTTAATAATATAATTCTATGAACTACTATAGAAAAAGTATACAATTAGCTACATATGTAATTTTTTATATTATCTATTTAAGAAATCTGCTCAAAGGTTTTTTATTAATTGTTATATTTAACATTCTTGCTTAAGTATTCTATTTTAAACTCTTTAAATCTGTAATTTGTATTAACATTACTGAATTATGTTCAGGTCATCATCTCAACTTTAGAACTATTTTATCCTTGAGGTAAACCTCTTGAAGCTTTTTGTATCTATTTTTATAACTAATCTAATATTGTTATAACAGAATTAATATTTATAATTAAGGCTATTTATTAAATTACTATACTCTTGTAGAGTTTATTCAAACTTTAATATTTATTTCAAATTATATTCTTAATATTTTAATATACTCTTGTCTATTCTTTAGACTCTTAATCTAAATAACCTGTGTAGAATTATAATCAATTTATCAGTATATTAAATTAATCTAATATTCTTTTCTTCTAGTTTATTCTAATGATCTGATTAGTAGTACCTCCTACTCAGAAGTTCTTGCCTATTCAGGTACTTCATTATTAGTATTATTAAAGATTCATATTACTTTTTTATTCAGGTCTTCCCAAATAGAATTTTTGTTTTCTAATTTTAATAAATTTATATGTCTTTAAAAACTTGTCTAGAGTTTGTATTACTTAATGCTAATTTGTATTTTTCTATATAACTAATTACGCAGATGTCTCATAACTTGTCAATCATGCTAATGCAATTATTATTACAGATATTTTAACTTACTTATTAAAACAGTTATTATAATATAAATGTTATATAAGTGATTATCTAAATTTTTATTATTGATAGAATTTGAACCTCTAATCTATCACTTGAAAGTTAACAACTTATTCATTTTACTAAGTCACTACACTTTTAATATTGTTTTGCAATTATATAGTTTTTTTTGTTTATTTAATATTTTATTTAATATAATAATATCTTTGACAATTATGTTTTTTGTTATACTATTAATTGTAGTTAAGAATATTAACAATATAATAAGAGTTATTTTATTTTAGATGCATTTAACTAATGTTTGATAAAAGTTGTTATAATTGTATCAATAATAATAAATTTAATTTTGATGATTATAATATAACATTATATTCAATAATTATTTGTTTCAGAATAGATTGTATATTTTTTTGCAAATTGGATTAGAGTATTTTTTAGAATTACACAATTATAAAATATGATTTAAACAAATAGTTCTTTAGGAAATTTTAATTTTAAATGTTTTTAAATTGGAGTTAGAAGGGTGAGTGTATTTTGAAATAAGTTTATTATTAAAGCTTATAAAATTGTGAAATATTTTTTAGTTAATTTTTGTTTAGATTGCATTTTAAATGTTTATTTGGTTGTAAAAGTACTATATAACAATATAATGAGCATTATTAATATGTTAAATAAATCTTTTAGATATATACTTAATGCATGTATTCTAAAACTAGAAATTGCAAAAATTTATAAAAAAAATCTTTTACAATATATATTATACAGTATCTTAATTGTATTTTGTTGTACTTTGTTCATATATAGAGGTTATTGAACATACACATAATCTTGAAAAGTCTTTTGATCATAAAAAAAAACTTTGTTTAAAATATATTGATTCAAAAATTAATAAATAATAAAAGCATATGAAAAAACATGGAATAGAAGAAATAAATTACATTTTACAGGCTAAATAAAGAATAATGTTAAACACTTTTTATTATATCAGGAAATCAAAGTTGGTTAAAGTATTTCTGTAACAATAAACGCTTTCAATTATATTAATAGGATAGAGTATTATTAACTTGAAATTTTGATAAAATTTAGAATTTTTTATTGAATCATTTTTGCATTTGATATTAAAATCGTCAGAATTCGGTAATCAAAATTTTAAATACAGATTACGTAATTGATCTTGGTGGTCATGCTAGGGTCGTTACATAACCAGAGTGACGTATTTACTGAAAATAATAGTAACCATACTAGGTTTAGATTTAGTTTTAGGATTATAACAAAACCTAGTATAATATAAAATGGCTCAAGAAACGGTTTAATTAAAGCATTAAAGACAATTTAGTAGCATAATTTTGAGTTATTGAGATTTGCAAATTTTTTACATAGATAATTTATATGAATGATCGGATACTAATTATTCTAATAATATATATTTTTAATGGAATTTATTAATATCAGTTTAGATCAACTCCGACAGATATTCGGATAAACAGGATAATAGAGAAACGTGCAAATGTTTGATCATAGATTTTATCTTATAACAAGTCCAATAGGGGATTGCGATTTGAATGACTCGAAAATGTCATTACCATTACGTAGTAGATGTACATGAGACGATTTATACTTACTATACTTACGTGTAAATCATCACTAAATTCTAATAAGTTTTGAATGTTTTCTTCTTATAATTAATTAGATCTATACTTTCAGTTACTTTCAGTTACTCGCGCATAGAATGAAGCCTTTAAAATTAGGAAGAAAAAAAAACTTGTACGAATAATGTGAATATTAATTATTAACGATAACAGCATTTTGTAATTGTAAGAAACTTTATTCTATAATAAGTTATTTATGGCCCATAATGATAATATAAATATCGATTTTGTACGTAACAAATCTAAAACATGGTGAATATTTATTATCATGTTACTGTTAAAAGAGAGAATTGATTACGAGTTTTTTTTTTAACATATGCGTTAAATATTTGCGATATATATATATCACCTTGAAAGGATAATAGAAGAAGAAAATTTAATTAATATATTTACGGAGCAAACCAAATTTGAAGACAATGGATCAGGACAATTGATAATAAAGACACTAGGGAGAAATGTTAAAATGAAAGGGACTTATGACGTAAGGGGTTCATAGATGACAAATAAATAAAAAAACGTGTTAACATTTTCTAACAATAAATTATAGTATAAATAAATATTAACGATTTTCTAATAATAATTTAAAATGGATTATAACTTGAGAATGCCGAGAAAATTTTAAATAGCATTTATTATCGATATCTTTACGTATAACATTTATAATGACCAAATAAAGGTATCAGCATAACTTATTTACGTCACTTAATGACTTATTCAATTAAAACTCCTGTTAGAAATATTACGGCCTTTTCTACAAAAATATCATGAGTTTGCTCATCTAGTAAGGTCCAAATTCGGATTTAAAAATGCATGTTCTTTTGATAAATAAAGGTTAGTATATCATATTATTGTGATTATGTATGTGATTTGTCTTGTGTATGATTGTGGATTGTGATAAATATTTAATGTGAATTAATATGTGAATATATGTGAATTAATATGTGAATAGATGTGAATTAATATGTGAATAAATGTGTGAATTAATGTGAATTTATATGTGAATTAATATGTGAATTAATATGTGAATTAATGTGAATTAATATGTGAATTAATATGTGAATTAATATGTGAATTAATATGTGAATTAATATTTGAATAAGTGTATGACTATGTGTATGACTATGTGAATAAGTGTATGAGTATGACGATGTGATTGTGACTAAGAATGGTGATTAAGGAAATAATATAATAAAAAGGAAATTCGCAAGACTAGGTTAATGAGATTTTAATATGGAAATTTCCATTTCCGTAGTGATATTTGCATAATTATGTAAATGGCTGCGGTGAATCTCAAACGTACCGCAATGAAATTTGAAACAGAAATTTGGCTAAATTTTAATAGAGCTTTGTAGCCGTACACAGAATACGGGAAAATTCGGGAAGAAACTAGATCATATTTTTGTAAGCTTTTGCAGATTTAAACGGCGCATTTAAGATATCATTGTCAAAGGAGTATCTAATACCGATACATTTTTTTGCTGCGATTTTAGGAATAAGGAATAAGAATAGAAATAAGAATAAGGAATAGTTTAAATGTTTATACAAACTTTCTTAATTTGCACTAGGCAAATATGTTACACACAAAAATTATTGGACTATTACAGACATTTATTGAGACTCCCTTATTGCGACTCTTATTGCGACTCTTATTGCGACCCTTATTGCTTACGCCATCTAAATTGTAGTGAAGTAAAATTTTATTGAAGTAGTATAAATTTCTTAATACGCCTGCACTCGAACTAAACCGAAGGCAAGAAATGCATTTAATCAATTTAGTAAGTTTTATATATTGAAATCAAAAATGATTTTTCGCAAAAGTTGAGATTTATTGCATAATAAATCAATGCGACATGTTATCTCTTTATAGAAATGATAATAGGAATAATATAAAATTTTGGAAATTTTAGAAACATTAGAGCATAAATGTTTACATGCTGTATGCATATTTACATATGCAAGGAAACAGAAGTAGAAAAAAAGGAATTTGCAATTTTAGACCAGAGATATACTAAGGACATACCAAAGACGTATTGGTTTATCTTTGTAATCAGCCAAGTTATTAATTTTCGTTGCTCAAAAGAGAGAATTTGGGAATCATTTCTAATAATGATAACGAAATGATAAATATTTAAGTAATTCAGGTAATAAAATAGAAATAGAAATACTAGATCTATGCGTAATAAATAGTAATTACGAAAAGAGGATCATAGATAATCACAAGAATATACATTTTTAATTTCTGTGGCATCAACTAAAGGGAGGACAGTCGTGTTTATTGTTTACAAACATTGAATGATGATGTAACAAAAAACATTACTGAAAATAATCAAGATAATTATTTCTACTAAATACATATTATTACATATTATTGGCCAGGGCTGAAACCAAATTCATCGACCGATTCACTCCGACAAAAGTTAAAGCAACACTAAATTTTTTATTTTGTAATACGTTTATCTTTCATCGCGTTAATAAACCTTAAAAACTTTTCATGTGCACTTACTACCGTAAATGATTTAATTAGGTGCATGTATTGTAAAAAATTGCGTAATCTGTATCGTAAACAATTCAAGCATATCGTACGCCATAGCTTTCATAAAGCTGTCAACCGGAGTTTGAATTGGTTAGATTATTAAGAAATTGAGTTGGGCTGAAAAGTTTTCTTTTTTATCCTTTTTTTTTTTTTTTTATCTTTTAGTGGAAAGTTTTCAACAATTTTTCAAACATATTATTTTTTATTATTTTTTATTATCGTTACATATTTCCGAATACTAACCTATCTTTTATCTCAATTTATATTGTCCTTGTGATATTGCATAAAAGTTGACCATTTAAATCACGTTTACCAGTACGTATGTATCGGTATCGGTATCGAGTATGAATTTTATTAATTTTATTAATTTTGTGGGGCTAAAAGTCAATGTTATTTTTCATTGTTATTTTCATTGTTTTTTTTTAAAAAAAAAAATTTTTCTATTCGCCCTTTATTCCTTTTATTGATTATTCTCCCCCTAAACTGCGATTTTGCAATTTTGCAATTTTGCAATTCTGCAACTTTGCATATGTACGTATAAACCTTGCATAGTACAACTCTAAGCACAACTCTAAGCCTTTTATTCTTATCAAACTTTCAATATATTAATTAAAGATAACGTATGGTCGTGCGAAATGATCGCCACATTCTTACTATAGTATTGCTTACATGATAATTTGGCTTCATACTTTTATTCATTCTATGAAAAATTTTCAAGGTTTCGCGAATTGGTCATATGTTCCCCACGCACACACTATATATGTATAGATTTACCCAAACGAAGTATAATTGTAACTGTACGATTTTTGTTGTACACATTCACTTATAACCGCCACAAAAAAAATATGACGAAATTATGCCTACTTCAAAAAAAGTTTAAAAAAATAAAATAATGCAGATCAAATAATCTCATCGAAAATTGTGAATATATGCATGAAGTACAAATAAAGAATAACAAGAGTTTATTTTTCTTGAGAACAATAGCAGTTAATCCTTTTCCAAGTTTATCAAAAAAAAGAAAAAGACTTTTTACTTTCCGCCCTTTCGATTCGATCAACGACCGACATTTTTTAAAAAGAAAAATCGCTTTTGATATATGCACGATGATAACAGAGAAATTTTTAGCGGCAATTCTTAACATAGATAGTCGTCCTTTATTCCCATACTCGGTTACATCTATATGGAAAAAAAAACGATTTGGCCAATTAGATAAAATAATTAGGGGATAACACTAATCGATTAATGGTCTTTTTGTAAACTGTACCGTTTTTACGTTACGTTCGTACGTATATACGTACGTACGAACAATAATTGAATGCATAATTTTCAATCCTTGTTTTCATTATTCTTGAGATCCAATTCAAGATCTGTGTGTAATTATAATACGTAAAATAATTATATACATATAATTTTGGCTAATTTTTCAGCCTTTAATTTTTAAAGTTTTAAAATCAATACATAGTTTATCGACCATTCTTTTCGTCAAAGTATTTGGTACTACTCTTTAGCAAACTTTCCATTTTTTACTCATTTTTATAAATTTTGCACCTATTAAAATTTATTAAAACTTATTAAAACTTATTAAAATTAAACTAATTAAACTTATGACTGCATGACGTACAATCCCATGACTAAAAAAATACTATACATTCTACTCTTCATATTGTTCAAAAAAAAAATTTTTTTTTTTTCTTTGTAAGTAGTCGAACTTATGTACTGCATTATTAAAATAATTGTTCCTTGTTCCTTTTATAATATGCAGGTCGGCTTTCGGAATAATAACCCGGAAAGGTAATTTAGGTATTTAATTTTGTCGACCATTCGTATAGCCTATAGCCGTTAAATTGTAAATCACATTTCTGATATCTGATATATCCCACTTGTTTTGTATCACTTGTATCATTTGTATCACTTGTATCACTTATATCACTTATATCACTTGTATCGCTTATATCACTTGTATCACTTGTAAAAATTATCACGAATTATCAAATTATCACGAATTATGCAAATCATCACAAATCATCACAAATTATACAAATCATCACAAATTATACAAATCATCACAAATTATCGCAAATTATCACGAATGATCCATGTAATTGTCACACTATGTAATTGTCACAAATACTTGACATAAATCATTTAGCTCGTTTTTACAAATTTCAACAATCTCTATAAAGTTTACAACAATAAGACTTGCATAGTTTCGTAGATACCAATCTACATTTGGTTTTTGTATCCGAAATCCAAGTAATTACTGTAATTAAAGTAATTACTGTAATAACTGTAATTATTAAATAAAACTTAGTATTAAAGTACTTTAATAATTTTAATGCTTTCGATACAATCTCTAAATACAATAGTAAATACAATAGTAAATGAAATTGTAAATGAATAGTAAATAAAGTAGGAAATAAAATAGAGCAAACTTTAGTGTATGTACATACAGTACTTAAATTATAAAAAAGGATTATTAAACCGCAACCCGTAAACCGATTTAAATAAATAATTTCTCGTTATTTTTGGTAAAGTGAATCTATTAAATTAAATTCCGTTTTTTTTTCATTGTAATTGTGATTAATTGAGTTTTTTTTATCGTCGTGATTTATAAAATAAGCTGTTAATTTTAAGTATAATTTCTTATCACACTTTCTTATATACAATATATATACATATATATACATATTATATAGATAAATAAATATATATAAATATGATTAGTTAATCAACACACAAAAAATACACTGTAAACTATTTTCTGACGTATAAAATGAAAAAGCCTTTCACCACAACGGTTTGATTTTTTTTACAATAACATGTATATAATAAATAAAATTAAATTCACTTCAATAAAAGAGAAAGATATAATTATTTTTATTATTGTAAATTTCAAATATTTGATAGTATTTAATAATAGTATCTAATAATATTTAATAATAGTAATAGTATTTAATAGTATCTCATAATAGTATTTTATATCCAAACGTCAAAAAGTCAAAGAAAAAATGGGTATATAGTTTTTTTTTTTTTATTAATTATTGCAATACATTTCATATACGTCTTTAAAATCAGGTATTTAAAAATTTATGATGCTGCTGCAATATAAAATCTTTATATTAATAATAATAAACACAACCTCTTCATCCAGAAATTTGTACTTCAATTATTTATATTGTTTATATATTACCTTTTTTTATTATCTTGTATTATAAATTATAATTAACGCCACAATATATATTTTTGTAATAGTTTATGAAATGAATTGACTACTGTAAATTTTTTGAATGAACTTCAAAAATATCAATAAAAAGGTCGATTCTAGACGATTAAAAAAAAAAAAAAAAAACAAAAAAAATTTTCCTCTCAAACATTCTAATATTCTCGACTTAGAACAATTATTTATCTATAAAAATTACTTTTTGAATTTTTTAGACTTTTCTTTCATCATAAAAAACGCGAAAACATTTTCTTTAAGGAAAAATTTTTTTTCTCTTTACCGTCAACAAAAGTTTACCTTTAACAAAAGTTAAAAAAAAATAAAAATAATAATCGAAAGCATAAATGACGACCACTGCCACTTATACTCAAACTCATACTCGTGCAACTCCAAGGCTTATCTTGAGAACTACCAATGATAATAACACAACCGCATCGACAGCCTTGGTAACAGCTTCCACGTCTCGTTCGTCATCACCTATAAAGACAACTAGTTCTTCTTCTTTAACATTACCAAGGCATACTCGAAAACCTCGTTTAATCCGTAAACATTTAAGAAAGCCTCCATCTTTTGATACTTACCTTTCTTCTTCACAACCCGGACCTGTCATTCAACCAAATACACCTCCTCACACACCTCCTCGTTATCCAAAGAGGTCTAACTCATTATCCTCTTCATGCTCTTCGATTTCATCAGAGGATAATCCTAACTATCCAAGTTTTTCCAGAGAAGAATTAATTTATGCTAAAAATACCCTGAATCTATCTACTAGTTCACTTAATAGTATTCCTCAAATTCGTACACGAAGAAGTTCAGGTGCCACCAAATCTGTTCGGTTTGTAAGTGCGGAAGATGATAAAAGTGACAGGAGCAGTATTGCTAGTTCCTTCGGAAGCAGTGGCATTGATGATTGGGATCTCAATGATTTTGCTGAAGAAGAAGAACAAGAAGAATTTTATACGCGACAATCACCTATACAACCTCCTGCTCAATATCATGCAAAATATTATTCAACTTAATAATGAAATTTTTTAAACAAACATTTTATTTGTCTTTTTCTCTCTATTTTTTGTTCAGATGTTTTCTACTCGTACATTTTTTGAAAAAAAAACAAAAAAAAAGCAAAAAAAAAAGCAAAAAAAAGGATTCTTTGCTATGAGGAATGAAGTTCGGGAAGTTTGCTTCAGTTATGAAATGTCATTTTAATTGAAAACGATTCAATTCAGTCGTAGTTGTTGTTTGTATTTTTCGTCCATAGCAAATTATAACCTCACAAAAAGTAAAGGTTTATTATAAAACAATCAAAATTTTGTACATACATAATTGTACATAAAAAGCTTTCTTTTATTATTATTATTATTATTATCTATTTTTCCTTGCCCCTCCTCATTCAGAACATTTTTCAGAACATTTATTTCTTTTTTTTTTAAAATATGACATTTTTAATTATTTTACCAACGACATCGAAATCATCAACAATTATCCGAAATCATCAACAATTATTCGCAATTTTCAGCAATTTATTCGCAATTATTCTTATTCGCAATTATTCTCAATTATTCGCAATTATTCGCAATTATTCGCAATTATCAGCGATTTGATTATCCGAAATTATCTTTCTAATCCTTAATGTTCCTTTAAAGCCGTTGGTTAACAAAAGCCAACAGAAACTTTGAGATGTAATTACAATCCCCCCCCAAAAAAACCCACCATGACACTTTATGATTTCATGAAAGGGGATAATTAATCTTTTTTAGCATTTGTGACAATTAAATAAGATGTGTATGTAGCATTTTTTTTGTATAGCTGTAAGTAGTTGAACGCGAAAAAAAAATAAGTTTAAAAATATCATTAAAAAAAAAAAAAATCAAATATATTTTTTTTTTAAATCAAAATCAATGACGTGAAAATTATTTTTCAAATATTAATTGCATAATAACGTGTTAACTTTAAGTTTATAAGTTTATTCAATGTTTATTAATACGTATCGCGGCCACGGCCGAGGTATTTCGTAAGTGCCGTAAACCCGAAAATGAAAAATGGTTAATTCAATGCACCGTTTATCTGAATCATGTGATCATCATATTTCATAAATTATTTAACGTTAAAAAAAAAACGTTAAATAATTATCTATTAAATATTATATTAAATTGTTAAACGGTTCATATATTCCGGCATAAACCGAGTTTCTGATCAAAAGAACGAAGAAATTAAAATGTTTTACAAAAAATATTTAAAAGACATTTAATACTTTTGAATCATAAATAAAGTTATAGCGTGCATACTCGCCAATATATTCATTACATACACTCACTTTACTTACACTACATACCGTACGTCCGTACGTCCGTATGTACATAAAAATCTGCAATGTTTATATTCTGTACGTACTATAAATTGTTAAAAAATTGTCGTCACACTACCTTTATTTTTCATGCAACATATATGTTAACCTCCCTAGTTTTCTTGTGGTTTTCCCCACTTGTGGTTTTTTTTCAAATCAAAGAATATCCCTATCTTTAAATTCTATCTTTAATTTTATCTTTAAATTCTATTTTCAATCCTATCTTTAATCCTATCTTTAATTCTATCTTTAATCCTATCTTTAATCGGTAAAGGCTAAATTTCTGCGGTCAATTTCTATTATTTTTGTACGTAGCATTTTTTTTTAAAAAAAGATAAACTTAAAATCACTGCGATGGATGAATGAATGAATGAATATCATTTGATAATATTAGTTAGGTTAACTCGGTAGTTTTTTAACCATGGCTGAATTTTTGACCGATCTCACTTGATTCTAAATAGAATAAATGTAATGGTAAATAAATCAGATAATGTAATGGTAAATAAATAAATAAATAAAAGTATAGATAATTATAAAATAAAGAAAGAATGATTTCATAACGATAAAATAATATACGTATATTGATAATTTAAATAAATGATACGTATGTATTGATAATTTAAATAAATCATACGTATGTATTGATTATTATTGAAAAAAGAAACGATTTATAAAATTGTACGTATAAAGGCTATAAAGGCTATAAAGGCAGATGTACATGTGTTAATTTATATATTGACTCAAGTTATAGATGTTTACTAGCATATATTGATATCGATAATTGATATTGATATTAGCATATAGATATATAAATAAATACGTATACAATATATAGATTAATATATATGCTATAATAACTCTCTTTTGTTGTTTCGCAACCTTCGATTATTTCGCGAAATGCCTTGATTACAAATTACAGCAAATAAAATCCTATCAATCGGTAATAATTGATAATATCGGTAATAAAGCCTTACACATACATTCATAGCGCATTTATTTTGATATTTGATTGGTTATTTTGAAAATAGTAAATTACTAAAAATGACATTGATGAATGAACTTATAAAGTCAAGTGCTTATTATGTTATGTTAACTTTATACAGGATCTTTGCAAAATTTAGCTTGGATTGACTTTTCTGTGGGCTGGTTAGATATATTCGTAGTGGATCGACGGAAAACTACATTCGAAGTCGGCTTACAGTAAAATAGGGAATGAAGAGAAAAAGGATACATTGCATGAATAATAAGAACAGATAATAATAATAATAATAATAATAATGATAATAATAATGATAATAATAATGAATAATAATAATAATCATTTCGTTATTCAATGCTGTGAGAAAAAAAAAAAGAAAACGTTAAGGGGTTGACTTAATTGATCGACAGGGTTGGACGTCTTGAGTGTCATTTTTAAAACAAAGCGAAAAATCTCTGTCTTTTTTGAATCTAACGAAATTTTTTGTTTTCCCCACAAAAAAAATAATAATAATAATCCAGTTCATAAAGTTCATATTTCTTTATTATTTCTTACCCCACATTTAATTACGCCATCCAAATAAAAACATTTAAAATATAAATACTAAAATATATTAAAAAAAATCAGAAGGTTTTAATATGAACAAGCAAATAACTGGTTCTTACTTGTTAAAATTTAGTATTACACTCATATCTATGTTATTAATCTATGTTATTATTGTCTATTGTCGCCGATTATCGTAAAACCGCACTATAACATGTTCAACTTAAAATGGAGAGACTAGAAATTTCTAGTTGAGTTAAACATATGATAAACTTTAAAAGTACATGTCGATATGTATAGATGTATATATATGTATGTATGTATGTACATACGTATGTATGTATGTATGAATCAAAAATTTTCTAAATTAGGAATTAAATAAACATACTAATAAATATATTTTGACTTATCGATATATTTCTGTATTAACATTAGTACACAGTACGTACTGTTCATACGTAGTAATAATTAGTTCATAATCATGTAGTCGAATTGTTAATATCGAGCACTACATAAGATACATGAGATACATAAGATACATAGGGTACTTAGCTGATCTTGGCACTTAGCTGATCTTTTTATTTATTGATTAAATATGTATGATCAATGTTTTGTCATACATATGTCCGTAAAAAAAATTGTTGTGTATATGTTCATATATTCATGCTTCATGTATTCACACATTCATAAGTTCATACGTTCATATGTTCATTGCTGAATTGTAGTATGATTATGAAATTGTACGTAGTATATCTCGAAATGTGGATCAAAACTTACCCAATATAAACTTATTAAATAATAATTATTATCCGTAGCTTACTATGATCGTACCAACAAAATAATTTGAATTCTTTTGTGATAATTGCATCATCAAATAACCTTATTATCTGATAATCACAAAAGAATTCGAATTATTTGTTGGTACGATCATAGTGAGCCACCTGATAAAACCGTTATTGGATACTATGTACGCAGCCAGATAAAATGATTTATTTTGCAAGTAATTCTGTTATTGGCTTCTTCGCACCCAATAACTATATTATTATTATTAAATATCAAAGTATTAATTACATTATTAAATACAGAAATATCAGCGCATTATTAAATATCAGTGAATTTTTATTTCTTGTTAAGTTTGATGTGTAACAAAAATACAAGAATCATTACCTGAATGACAAATCTGCTTGTGATTTCTATGATTTTAACAATTAACACGTGAGGCAAATTCGAAATTTTATTCACTTTCGAGAAATTTTTAATCATTGTTAGGTTTTGGATATGTAGTGATCATTTTTTAAGGGTTTGTAAGGAGAGGTTAAAATCCTTTTTTGGCTCATGTATCACATTTCCCACTGCTAAGAAAAGCAGGATACCAATTTGGTTTCCGCTTTTGTTCCGATTTTTTCACAACAATTGCAGGCGTCACTATGAATAAATTTGTCTTTTTCATTGAATTTTTGTCCTTTGCATTTGCATATAACATTACGACATCCTATCATTATACTATCATTATCCTATCAATTATCCTAATCAATTATCCTATCATTATTGATAATTTTATCACTTAATTTTACTGTTCTTTGTACTAAACTTTAATAATTGCATTATTTCTTTTTCTTCCCTAACGGAAACAATATTATTCTAGATGAAGATTATCTTCTGGCTAAAAAAACTGCATTATCTACTATCGCTAAACTGACTAATATTTTCTCCTTTACCTTAACTGGCTATGATTATCCCTTTTTTGTCTCTTGTGCATTATATAACTCGATCTAGTATATATTTGTCCCTTTTTTATTACTACTTTTCATTTCTAACTTATGCTATTTTTTAAATCTTAATTTTCTTTCGATTCAATCTATTCATCTATATCGTCATTCTTCTATTCTTAGTTTACTACTGATAATTTTGTTGACTTTTAAAGTTTTATATGTATCTTATCATTAAAATCCCTAATTTTTTTTTGAAATTGTTTTAAATCGGAAATTGTCTGGATTTTCCGACTGCATTATAATATCTATTAATTAACGTTAACGTATGTGTGACCAATTCATTCTTATTATAAAAATATATATTTGCCTTACCCTACGTATTTATTAAAAAAATCATTTACACTTTTTACTACAGTATTTATTATTAATAAGGTTAGTCAATCTTATCCTTTTAAAGTTATCATTGAATAAAAATAAAGTATAGGTATGACATGATTATATTTTCCCGAGATTACTTCATCCATTCTACGTATTAGGTTACACGATGTAACTACGCCGTCTACATTTCTCATTGATTCAACAAGAATTTCATAAAGATATATTATTCATATTCATAGGTTATATTCATAGATTGGTTAGTATGCGAAAATTTAATTATCATTTTTTTGTATAGGTTCTTTTTATTTTTGTTTTTATATGCGTTAATAATGGCGCATTTAAGTTCATATTTGTTTAATGGTTATCATTACTTAACTATTTATAAACTATTTATAAACTATTTATGATATTTTTATGAATTATTGGTGAATTAATTGGTGAATTATTGGTTACTGTATAAAACCTATGTGTCACCATAGTCTGCCTTATCTTTGATTCAATGTCAAACAAACGCATAAATACTGTATATTTCTAAAGAAATTCTTTATAATGTCTTTTTCGGTTATCTTTATTATATAATCTTATTTGGCAAATTATATTAAATGGATAATAATATTTATGTTAATAATAAATAAAAAAAAACACTATTATTATTAATATATTAATACTGCAGCAGACTCAGGGACAGTGAAAAATATCGATTTATGTTGATATTTTGCAATTTTTAATGCGGTGTAACAATACTACTTCGGGCAAAATTAAGTGTATAATTTGGGCTGGACAACACAAATTTATCTGTCGGTAAGTTTCGGACACGTAGACAATTAACAAACTAAAATCATGTTTGTCGGAAAGTCACATTAC